TACTACTACTACTACTACTACTACTACTATTATTATTATTATTATTATTATTATTATTATTACTACTATTGTTATTACTATTGTTATTGTTGTGGTTATTGTTGTTGTTGTTTATCATTATTGTTTATAATTTATACAATTAACCTCCTTGTGGTTCGACCCTGATCTTGTCGGGTTATTTATTACTTTGACACTCCTGCACTTGGGAGAAGACATCAATCTTTTGGTCATGTCACCAATCTAAAATTAGTAGCTTATATAATATGGATTATGAAGATACTAATATATCTATACCTACATATGCTCGACCACTTAAATATTTATAACATTTAGCTGGTGTTGGTATATCTAAGACATTGAAAGATTAGGTTATGAGAATTTGTGATGAAAACAGGATTAAAATTGCATATTGTGATCAATGATGATATGAGTCCTCCGATCTTAGTGATAATGAAGATGAAGGTTTCATAAGTTTCTTTAGAAAATAAAATGATGATGATGTTGATGAGGCCTCCTGTTCTGGAATTTGATCATGATAGTGGAGTTGATAACATGGTTTGTAATGATTAGTCTGATTGCGTAAAAAATCAGTTAGTATAAGTGTTGAAAACAAACATGATTTGACAGAGCAAACACACTCTATGTTATAATGTCAAAATTAAAACATTATTAATGAATGAATAATAATTACACTAAAGTTTAAGTCAATCCATGTATCACTTTTATAATATTTGGGGGATCATGACATGTTGCTAAATAGTACAGTTGATCTTCAAATATAAATCAATCAATTGTTAAGTTGATAATAAATTAAATTATTTAATTTTAATTTTATTAATATTATAATTTATACTTGAACCAACATATTAGGAACCTAATGAGTCACATACAATAAGAACCATTGATCATAAATTAAACTGAGATAATTAATTAAGTGTGACTTAATTGAAAATAAATTGTAGAAATTAAGGGCTACATTATAATGAAGTTGATTGAATAAATTCACAAAGAAACTTGATTGAATAAATTTACAAAATTATCCTGATATAATATATGTAATATTATTTAAGGAGAAAATTAGTATTTTGCTATTTATAAAGTTATTAGGATTTTCCTATATAATGTTATACTTTATATTTTGCATAGTGAAGTAAAGAGAGAAAAAAAATGTAAGTTACAAAATATACATATAAAAAAATAAAAAAATAAAAATGAAAATCTAACACTAAAAAATATAACAATTACTCTCTTTTTAAAAGGATTTTAGAAGATTTCTTGTTGGTGATTCATATGAATTAATATTAAAAGCCGAATAATTAGATAATTTATGAATTATAATAATCTATCTCAATCTTAAAAAAAAACTGATCAAATCTTATAAATAGAATCTAATATTTAGATAATTTATATTTAAACACTAACCAACTCTAAATTTTATAACAATATTATTTAGAATCTAAAAAAATATTAAATCACTAATTTCACTGTGTTTATAGGCTTTCAAAAAACTCCATAGCCATTGCATATTTTGAAGTGGATTGAAATAGAAATATGGATGATGGAATCTCTACTTGTGCTTATACGGTATTTTTAGGGTCCAACCGAATATTATGGAGTACAAGAAAGCAACGCTCGTTCCTATCATAAGCAAAGCATCGTGCATTCACTACCATAACTTCTAAAATTACATGTTTTTTTTTTTTTAGTTTGGGATTATGACAGCGATAATATTTTAAAATATTTTTTTATATAAAAATAATAATTTTTTATTTTTTAAATCAATTTTCATATTAGCATATGAAAAAAATCTGAAAAAATATATAAAAAATTCATTTTATATATTTTAAAAATAAACATACTTTTAGGAAGCTTCGTATACCCTATTCAGAACCACCACTCATTTTAAGTGATAATACTGGAGCAATTCAGTTGAGTTTAAATCCAGTTCATCATCATTCTTATATGAAACGTATTGCCGTTGATTTACATTTGGTTTGTGATTATGTTGCAAAAGTACTACTGAATCTTTGTCATGTTTCATCCCATGATCGACTGACACAAGCTCATACTCGCTCGATCTCTTCTTGAAATGCTCAGATCGAAGATCGGCATCACCGATGGTGAGACGATCTTGCCAGGGCTTGTTAGGGAATCTCCTGCAAATAATCGTACACCTACAACAACCTTTAAGACAGCAAGATCACAGGATAGCAACCGCGACAGCAACAACTTCAAATAATAGCCCGTAGTTGCAACTGAAGTTTCGACATTTACATGAAGATCACGAGTAGTCAATTCAAAGCATCTCAACACTAATACCATGATTACACAGACTGCAATTCCAGCAAGATTACAGGCAATTCCAACAATTAATTACATAGGTTGCAGTTATATCTAGGAAAAGATATTGTCCCGGCAGGTTATATAGCACATGATAAGCTTATTATCCTCCAAATTAACTACATGATATCATAGCTGTAATGCTAAGTAAATCATAGCATCATGTCATGAATATATAACACCTTGTAAATACACATTGTATTGTATGATCAGTATGGTGATTGAAAATTCTGAAAAACAAACTTATAAAGAAACTTAAGGCACATGTGTGCTGCTTCTTTTATACTTGTAAACCGTTTTGATTACAAAGTTGATTGTGCTGAAGGTGATCCTGGCGGTAATGGACACGACCTTACGTGACTATGCCGGAAGTGAGATGCCTCCTTGTTTTTTTATCATTAAATTACACAAGCACAAGACTGAACTTGGCATGGTGAGCTTTATGGCTTAGCGCACCGAATTCTAAAGCATGATTTTGAATTATGGCCTTTTGGCTAGGGGGTTAAGATTACTGATGAGGAAATGGAAAAAAGAGAAGCATGATTTTATAAAATTGGCAAAAGTAGTAATGATAGCTGATAAGAAAGCTACTGTTTATTTATTTTTCTTCTCTTAATTTTATGGGGAATCAAGTAGCTTGGCATCATTATCTTTGTTTTGGACATGCTTCATAATCAATTAAGGAATGACACCACCACGGAACAGCAGAGTGATTACAGTTAAAAAAATTGCATAGCAAGGTGTGATTGTCTAGTCTAGAACTGACGCTCATCAAATCTGTAAAGAAGGTATTTTTTTTTTATAACTCATGCTAATAATAATAAAGATTGATCACTACACCAACCGGTTAGATAGTTCTAATCCACGCCAACCTAATTCGTGCATAATTTTCCAGTCCATCCACAGAAGATCAACTTCAATATTTGGCTTGTTTCAGGAGAGAAATTGATGTTGTTTTGGTTACATATAGCCATGTCAGTGACAGGCTTCAACAAGGAAATCAAGGACAAATTGGCTATTAAAATTGGCGATGAGGCCAACAGAAAATGAAATGCTGAAGCTCGAGTTTTACTGGAAGTATCTGAAATTGCTGATTACTAGAGTGACATTTTCTGAAAATATGAACTCATGATGAGGCCCATGGAAAGCACGCATGTTTGGGAAGCATACTGATGAGCCCCGTAGAACCCAAGTTTCAGCAAAGCTAATGCTGTGTTTGGTGGATGTTATCATTATTCCATCTTTTTCCTAGCCTGGGCTTGTGTCCCGGGCTTCTTCTTATCTTTTATAATTGCACACTCAAATTCACAGCATAATGAAAGCATTAAACCATTCAACATTCCTTGTTAAAAATGGTGACAGATTTTTTTTCCCCGCCCAAGAGATATATATATATGGTTTCCATAATGGCCTGGCCCCATTGTTATAGAGCATGCTTTCTTGGTAGGTCTAGCTAGGACCATTGGAAAGTCCTGAAGAATAGTGGTAGATATACAGTAGCTTGTATCAGAATCAAGACTCGTTCAAGAAATAAAGAACGGGATCATGGCTGTTCGATATATATATATGGAAAGTTTTTGCCGCTACATTAGGCTTTAATTTCTTCCAGTTGCCAGACAGGCATTTGTTTTTTTGACCCAAACGGACCATGACAGCCCCTTTCACTGTGCGTTCATAGCTGGCTACCTTGCTAATTAATTGGAAAGTGATGGAATCCGAGGCTAATTAATCAGCATATACTATTTCAAATAATAGATGTTAGGATTAAGCTTTTAATCTGTGAAATCCATCTCCAAACAGGCAGCTTTTTTTAATATAAATAGTTTATTAAATAAACTAAGTGACTGCTTGACTGCCCAGAGGGACCGGAGAGAAGTCAAAATGAAGAAGCCACCAGTTGAGAGATTGAGAAGTATAAAGGACGTCAAACTCCATGATTGATATGATCGCACATGTCACAGGCATACAGCTAGCTGGTAACACCATAGCTTTTTTGACCATGCAATGCTATCTTACAGGAAATATATAAATAATCATTTCCTAGTCAAAAAAGATTAAGAGCAGGAGCGATTAGATGAACTACCGTTTTGATTCTTAAACGAGAATGTCTTTCTTCCACAGTCACTGCTAACGGTCTACTACCTGCAAAACTGAAAACAAGGAAAGGAAAGACAACAGGATATGCAAAATGACATCATGATTTCTCATTACCATTACTGAAAAGCTAGACAAATATTGTTTCTAACCAACATAAGCACATATACAACCCATGATTTCTGCCACATTTAATTTCCCACTCGATATCCCTTCAGCAAATTCATAGCAGTACAGTAGAGCAAACTTCATATCAACTTAAACATAAATAAAAAGAAAAAGGATAACAGACGAAAGTGAGCGATTCCATCAGCTTAATTATTATTGGTCATGGACCTTAATTAATCTTTTTGATCCACAACATCTACTGTAGCAGTACAAGACAGCAACCTGTGAAAGATCCTAAACAAGGCACTGCAAGATACTTCCTTGGCTTTCCTAAACACCGAACACTTCCTCTTACGACCACCCTTAATCTGATCTTTTCTCTTCTTTCCATGATTTGCGACCTTCTCTTTCACTCTACCAAAGCACTTCTTGGTCTTCTCTGGCATACTTTCTTTTCTAGAAAACGTGTAGCTCCTCAGATACATCTGCCTGCAGGATATACTGTCCACCACTCTTGGGTGGCCATGCAACCCATGGCCAGCTACACGGCGGACAGATTTTATGAGCTCAGCATCAGATTCTGACCACTTGTAGAGGTTCACATAATTGGCACGGACAGGCACCCGAGGGTCACGTGTATCATTGACACAGTTTGATATGCAAACTGAGCTCATTTTATTCGCGGGTTTGAGGGTGTGATACGATCAGAGCTGGTTACAGAGTTTTGTTCTGGGTTTTGGACTATATATTGTTACAGCTTCCAAGGCTTAGATTGCAAGAAAAGATATATGGAGAAGCAAGAGAGAGAGAGGTGGCGAATTGCTAATGGGATTTGGTTATAGTGGGTGAGTAGAAATTGTATCAAGTTATGATTTAGCATCATCATCGGTAATGAATGTGTTTTAGAGTGATTTTTTTTTTTTGTATGTGTATGTGTGTGTGTGTGTGTGTGGGTGATCTTTTTTTTTTTTGTATGTGTGTGTGTGTGTGTGTGGTCGGCAAGAAAGTCGATCAATTTCAATGACAGTAACATCCCTACAAAAAGTGATTTACGTGGTGAAATTCCAAGACTTGGATGGGGTAATCATGTAACTCAACTACTGCTGCCTAAATTTATAAGCATCGAGTATCACGTTGAGGGAGGAAGCATTTATCCATGCTAAATAAGCAAAATAATCTCTCTCTCTCTCTTGCCTTGTCTTCATGAAAAACAAGTTCTTGACATTTACCCAGGGATTGGGGTGGTGAAACCTAATTTTATATTACTTTGCTTTGTAGATTGTATCTCACAGGCCGGCCCGTTTTGTCCTTGTCTTCGAAGACAACGCGAAGAACAAAGGGTCGAGATGATAAAATTTTACTTATGAACAGGTGCGGGCTTTTCTTTCCCTAAACAAAACCTTTTGTTTTTCATGGGCTAAACAACAAGTTGAATTACTTCTATATCCTGAGATTTTGGTGAAATTAGACCTAAGTCCCCGATCTAATTCCTAAAACTTGTAAATGATCAAGAACTTCCTACAAGTTATGAGTCAAGAGGTAAAACTTGGGACTTCATGTTAATGAAGTTTTAGGTTCAACATTTTCTTGTGGTGATTATAAATTCCAAGAATTACTAAAATCCAATTTTATTGAATAAAATATATTTGGCCTTTCTTTTACTTATAAATAAGCTTACTTTAGGTGATTCTAAAAAAAAGAAAGGCATTTTCTTTTCCTCATATTCAACAACGCTTACTTTAGGTGATTCTAAAAGAAGGAAAGGCATTTTCTTTTCCTCATATTCAACTTCTATATTCTTTTCTAAGAAAAGCATATCCAGTATTGGGGGTACTATATTAAAAAAATAAATAAATAAACAATAACTAAGAGTTCTCAATATGGCCTATAAGTGAAAACACATTTTATTCTTATGATATTTTTAATTTATTTTTATCCTTCAATTTTATTTTTATTTTTACTTTGGTTATCAATTCTTTTCTCTTTAATTTCATTATTTATATTGTGTTAATTGGGGATTGAACTTGATGATTTATTTAATTTTTTTATTTCAAGTTTTATCGATTTAAAAAACAATCTTAACATTGAATTGATTCTTGATTTTATAATTAAAATTTTGCTTTAATTATTTGCAAAAGAAATTAAAAATGAGGGGAATAAAATTGAAAATAGGGTGAAATGAGAACCCTCTATTTAAAACAAATATTTTTACTTTTTTGTTTCTTTATTTTTTTCTCCAACCATAGAACTTTTTATTTTTAATTTCAACCTTTTATACTGTGTTGATTGGTGATTTGGATTGATGATTTGTTTCATATTACTTTATATGATGTTATTGTAGTCTTAAGAAATTCTCTGATATTGGATTGATTTTTTATTTTGAAAAAAAAAATAATTTTGTTATTAGCAAAAAAAAATAAAAATTAGAGAACCAAAATCAAAAGCTTTGTGAAATAGTGGTCCTTTTAAAAAAATATGGTGGAAGTGATTTTTAGCCCAAGGATTTTTTACAATTTCTATTTTGAACCCTTTATTTTGGAAATTATATATTTTAGTATAAAACTTCATTTTATTTATATTTTAGTTCATAAATTTGATAGAGAAAAAAGTCTCCGGAAAGAAGCAAATAAGAGAAAAGAAGGTTAATTTTTTCGATTCTATTCACAAAAATGACCACCTTTGATTTCAAAGTATCCGTCTTGATGAGAGTAGTGTCACTGAGATTTGTTTAGACTTTTATTTTGTCTGAAAAAATAAATCAACATTGAATAAGGTTTTGTTTTTGTTTTTATTTTATTTTTCAACCCATCTACGAGATTTTTTGGTTGGGAAATTAGTTTCTTGGGGTTATGAGAGTGCCTTTTAAGATATTTTGAAGTGAAAATATATTAAAATTAGATTTTAAAGTATATAATTAAAAAATCTAATTTTTTGGCCACCATTGTGGTGGCCAAAATTTAAGTATAAGATAATGCATTTTTTACTTTTTTTTAAAAAAAAATTACCACATGATGTGTTTTCTTCCCAACTTAAAGGTTTTTTTTTTAAAAAAAAACCCAATCACCTTTATCTGGGCTAGCAAGCTCACATGCCTATGAATATTTTTAAAAGCTTGGATTATTGGCCACCAAACCTGCTCTCATCGCCTTTTTTGCCCAATAATTAATATATTTACTTTTTAAGAAATTAAATAATTTGAAAGAATACACGGGCATACAATAAATATATATATATATATATATATATTAAATTTCATTTAATTTTTAATTTAGTCTTGATAGATTTGTAAAACCCATCATAATTATTATTATTTTATTTTATTTGGTCATTGGTTTTTATTATTATATAATTAAATAAAAAATAATTTTATAAAAATAAACTTATTAAACTTAGTCGAGTCCATAGATCAGGTCATGAGTTTGGTATGTTGACACAGATAAATTTGATATTTTGCCGCCACAATATAAAAAAGAGATGTTGTATTGAATTTTTTTAATTTAATCCATGTTTTCATCTTTTAAGTTATCTTTAAACCTATCAAGTCAGCTAAGTTATATTAATTTAATCTTCACATGATTTTATTTGAAATTTGAGCTAGAAAAGGATTTAAGTTAAAGGGTTTCAATGATAACCGGTTAAGATAAGCTTAATAGCACTTCCAAATAATTTCACGTGACCACGTGCATATATATTTTTTTTTTTATTATTATTATTATTATTATTATTATATTTTTTTAATATACTCACATTATAATTATTAGGATATTATTTTTTAAAATTGAAACTTAAATTTGGAATCAATGTTGTCTAAGACATAAATGTTCTTATGGAAAAAAAAAAAAGGCATGCTAATGAGAAGAAAAAGGCCTTGGTTAGAGATATATCTTTTTTATCTTTATTTTAGATCACTCTAGTTTCTTACACACATATTTAGAATACTTTTGGTTTTTATTAAATGAAGACATAAAAACATGTTAAATTTTTTAAAATTAAAGATATTAATAACAAAAAGAAGAATTTTACTAGAAAATTATTTTGTTTAAATGAAACTTAAATTATTACTCTTCTTATAAAAAATATTATTATATAATGAAGTAAAACAAATTAAAGAACTTTTCACAGCACATAATCAAATATCCTTAACTGCACATATTTTTTAATTTTACAACTTAGTGTTTAGTTAGTGTTATAATATTTTATTAGTATTTGTTGATATATATAATTTTTAATATATTTTGTTAAATATTTGCAATAGATCTTGACTTAATGGTTAAGATTTTTTATTTTTTTTTGTTGTTGGTAAATGTATTAGCAATGTCTCAATTTTTTTATTGGAAAATGTATTAGCAATGTCTCAATTTTTTTACATTAAAAATTAAATTAAATAAAATTTGCGGGCTTGTGATGTGTATACATGAGAACCTCAAAGTTCCTATAAAACCCATTAATCTCTATTTAATCCTTAAAATTTTTAAAATTTAATATATATCCTCCCCATTAAGTTTTGATTGAAATAGTCTTGTTTTATACTGAATATACAAAAAAGTCTTTCTTTATGTTGACGAAATTACATTTGCAAATCGACTTTTTGATAATTTTTCTCTTGACAATAATATGTCGTAATATTCTTACACATTAATCTCTTTTCTTCAAATTAATACTTACTGCATATCTAGACGAATATAAAATGAATTCAAATTAAACATTCTCTTTCTAAATCAGTGTCGTTTATTTAATTAAGGCTTCTTTGTAATAGTTTTAATTTCTTTTTTCTTTTAAATTGACTTTCCTAATAGAAATAAAATAAATTAATAATGTCACATTTTTTTACCATTTTATTGCTGGGAATAGAACGTTGTCTTTTTTCTTTTTTTCTTTTAATTTCTTTTTCATTATCCCATGTTACAAGGAGGTGTAGCTAGTCGTCCCCTACAGCCAAATTCATAAATTGCATGATTAGATTATGGAAGGAGCTTCTTTACCTGTGATGTGGGTTTCCCTAGCCAAATATTCTTTGATCAAGTAATATTAATGAGAAGCCATTCCTTTATTATTGTATCCATTGATATTAATTAATTGACGCACTGTGTTAAAAAAAATTAAAAGAAAACAAGAACTAAGATTTCTCAGGTTGTTCTAATAGAGAAAGTTTTGTTTTGAAATTCAATAATTTTTAAAACTACTCTGAAAACAAGTTGAAAAGCAAAAAAGAAAGGAATTTTTTTTTTTTTGGCTAGGAAACCACTGAAATTACTCTGAAAACAAAGTTGAAAAGCAAAAAAGAAGAACTTTTTTTTTTTGGCTAGAAAACCACCATCACTAAAACTACTATGAAAACAAGTTAAATTGCATCAATCCGATTTCCAATTTAAATCCTAGCATATCACTGGCCTGGTGCTTTATCCCGGTATAAATGGTGTTTGGATATGCTGGTGCGGCTGTGATTAGAAAAAAAACAGTGTAACACATGTTTAGTTAACCATAAAGCACAATTTATTTTTATATGGGTTCCATCTTTATCCCGGTATAGATGGTGTTTGGATATGCTGATGTGGCTGTGATTAGAAAAAAAAATAGTGTAACATATGTTTAGTTAACCACAAAGCACAATTTATTTTTATATGGGTTCCAGTATAAACTGTGGTTCAATTGCAAAAAATAAAAAGCAATTACGCATTGCTTTTCATGCGTTTCTCCTCTCTCATCACCGATAATTTTACAATTAACTTTCCCAACTGTCCTCTGTCCTTCTTTCTTCAATTTCTCAACGGTCATGAAAAAAACCCAACAAATTAATGGTGGAAGGTTGTTGTAGATCAATAACGCCCAGTTTCAACATTTTTCTATACTATTCCTTCATACGCTTCACCTTTCTCTCACCACCGAAACTTTCTCACAACCACTGTCA